TGCAGAGTAGTGGACGTAACATTGCCTGTACGGGAAGCTAGTTCACCAGGATTGATGGCCTTGTCTTAGTTGCTTTCACATGAACACTTCCACAGTGCTTTAGCTTTAGGACTAACGGATCTCTATGGTCAGCAGTTTGAGTGAATCTGTAAGGCTATAAAGGATCATATTTGTTTCAAATTGTCCAGAAACCAGCTTGCAATATTAGAATGCACTGAAGATAAAGATCCTTCAAACATGGCAGCTAGTTAATATTCTTGTGACTGGTATGTTCATCCCATTGTGTCAGGCTATGTTATGATTCAGGTTCTCATTGAGCAAGTAGAAGGAGGAGGGGCTTTGCTGGGCAGTTAATTGTTCATTTGATTTTAGTTTAAGGAACTATTGGCTGAAGTAGATATGGTCAAGTATACAGAGTCTAGAAGTCTAAATCAGGAAACTTTATTTTCTATAAAAAGGGTGATAGAAACAGATGGTAATGTAGTGTTTCAAGACCATATAGTCGCTGTTGTAACTTCTCAGTTCTGCTGCAGTAAGGTGAAAGCAGACAGATAACATAAATGAGCCCGGTTGTTTTTCAATAAAACTTTATTTACAAAAATAAAAATTGAGGGGGGCCAGGGAGATAGCTCAGTGGAATAAAGGCTTGCTTGGCAAGTGCAGGGTCCTGAGTTCAATCCCTGGTACTACCAAAAAAAAAAAAAAAATGAAATTGGGCTAGATCAGTCATAACTTGCTAGCCCTTGTTCTGGATTCCAGAAGATATGTCACTGGACCTACAACTGGCTTCAGAGGAACAATAACAGTAGTTTCCAGAACACTGGATAAACATATATAACTTTCAGTATGCATAGCTAAGATGTCCCTGTACTTGTATATAATAATTTATTTTCAGAAAAAGGTTTTTGGTCCCCTGCAAGTTTCACTGGGGGCTAATCTGCATACTTACTTACTTATATCCCACTTCCTTCCCTCCCCAAATTATCAGAAGTAGTTTATGAGAAAATGCATATATGGGACTGTGGGTATCAATTTGTCGTAGAACACATGCTTATTATATGTGAGGATTTGGGTTCAATCTCAAAAAAAAAAAAAAAGGAAAAACAGAATAAAAAAACCAAAAAAGTCTGTCAAAATACTGACATAAAATCAAAACCCACATAAAAAGTTCACAGAAAGCAAGTTCTGAACATTCCTTACCCACCTGCCAATTCAAGCTCATAGTTCAACCATTTCTGAAATTGATGAATGTTTGGAACACTCCCTAGGTTGAATATGGATTTGCTGCCTAAGATTTCATCTTCTGTAGCATAATTTCCTTTCTGGGGGGAAAAAAAATTCTCCAGTGTGTTATATCAAGTCTCCTACAAAAGAAAGAGAATTCATCATTTCTCTTCTGATTGAAGTGTAAGCCAACTAAGTGGGTGTGAGGAGAAGAAATAGAAAATTATAAGCTAATGAAAACTTTGATGGTCAAATGAGTTACTCAAAACAAAATCCAAGGCTTACAAGACTACAGTTTCATTAGCCAAAGAGACTATTTTCAGTTGTTTTAAAGATGTATCTCTGCTCTCCATGAAAAAGGAGAGTTATTTTTTAGTTCAGCAGTCAGAAGCTGGTCAGAAGCACCACTCCCTGGGGAACTGAAGTTTACAATGTGGCAGGAGGGCCAAGTGATTTTATAAACTGGCCATGGGATTGTGATCCCAAAGTTTGTTCTCAAATAGAGACAGTGGTCTTTGAAAAAACTGAAATTGTATACAAGTAGCTTTAACATAAGACCCTACTTATCATCCAGCTGCTTAGCTAAGTAGGTACAAAATTATATAAACCTGAGGTAGTGGATCCCCGCAAGTCTCTGGCTTGAAGAGGGTATGTTGGACATATCCATGAGGACATTGGAAGAAGTAAGGAATGCTCCCCTGGGCCACATGGAAACCAGGCAAAGATTCATTCACAAGTGAAAACTGAAGAAGCCTGGTGGTTCCAAAAGCAAGATAGAAACAGTGCTAAGCACAAATAGACCATTTGCATAACAAGATTTGAAGATGAAGTACTGGGCTAATTGTATGATAGACAAAAAACTAATTATAATAAATAAATTCTGTAATCAGCTGCTGAGAAAATTGTTCTTTATTCTAAAAATGTTTCATCTGTTCTGTAAATTTAAAAGTGTTCTAACCTTTAAATGGAAGAAAAAAATTCCTAAGAAATTACATCTTAAGCTACCATTCCTTCTCCTGCTCACTCTGGTCGAGAGGGCAAATTGGAATGCTGGCCATCTTTCACAATAATAAGCATACACACTGTTTGATCCTGCACCTGTACTTGCATAATTTATCCTTTGAAGAAAAGCAAACTCTCAGGCTGGCAAGGATATTTGTGCAAAGACTATCATATTTAAAAATCAAAATGAACCATAGAAAAAGGATTTCTAAAGTTTTTAAATTTGAAAACTCTTGGTGAGGGCTTGCAAACCTGTTTACACAAGCATGAAGTTTGGCAAGGATAAACTATAAAGGAGAGAAAAGTAATTTTCCAAACAATATATACTGAAAAATTTGTCACCCGGGGCTGGGGAGATGGCTCAGTGGAATAAGTGCTTTGCTGGCAAGCACAAGGGCCTGAGTTCAATCCCCGGTTCCACAAAAAAAAAAAAAAAAAAAAAAAATTGTCAACCAAAGACAAGAGAGCTTTTCCTTGATTCATACAGGAATCAGGAATCAGCAATGTGCAGTGGACACCAGTTTAATGCTGAACACCATCGGTCACATCTGCAGTTTGACACTGACTTACGTTATGCACCATCAGTCGGCTCTGAGGGTTGCTGCTCTCTGTTGCTAATCTTCATTCGTTGTTGGTCTCTGGAGCTCTTCAAGGATAACAGCTCCTAGTATTTATTGATCTTTCTTTCAAAGGGCCTCTCTGTCCACAGTACTCAGGATAAGAATCCTGAGTAGATTGAGAGGATGTTCCAAGCCCACACACCTGAAAACTATATCATGAGCAGATTTGCTGAACCATTGGAGCAAATCTTGATTGTAATAGGATATATGTGGTAGCAAAGGAATGTCAGTATACCAGAGAGAGTTCTCCTAGACCAACCAAGACATGCAACAGGAGCAGGGCTTAGGTAGCTGCACAGGCCAGTGATTGGTCCATGTGTAGCTCTATGATTGGTTTAAATTCAGGCTTGCATGATTGATCCAAGTGCAAGTCTGTGGTTGGCCTTTGCAGATCCAGGGTGTCCAAGATAGCCCAAGCTGTTATGACAGCAATGGTTCAAACAAATATCAGGCAGAAGGCAGCTGTTGATTGGAAGCTATTATATTTTCATGAAAAATGGCAGAACTGAAACCCAAGAATATTCAGGAGGGCCAAGTGCTCATCACAGTCTAGTAGGGCTTGGGGAGATCAGAGATATTAATAATAGGCCTGGATCCCTCTTTGATCTCTGACCCATTAGGGTTTTTTTCTCACTGTTTCTTCAAAGATGTGACAGCTTCTGGAGCCGCAGGAGTGTGAGAGGTATGCATAGCTACAGCTGAGCTGCATCTCCTGTCAGAGCAGCCTAGAAAGCAGCCACGAAGCCAACCTGAGAGGACACTGAGGCAGGCTGTCCCAGTCCATCCTTGTCTGAGGAACAGAGTGGGAGCAGAAGAAGCAGGGATGGGGGTTGACAACCCTTGGCCAAACAGTGCCCCTCCTGTAATTGGAAAAAAGCCTGGAGAGTCAGGCGCTTCTTATCTGTCTCAGAATAATGCCTTTCTTTCAAAGTAATAATCAGTTATATGCATGTGTGTGCCTAGAAGATTTGGAGCCATACACAGAATTGTTCATAGTTGTTATGGGGAAGGGACAGAGTATAGTGGTTAGAAAACAAGCCACTAATTCAACCATTAGTTACTGAGTGCCTACTGTGTGAAAAACACATCCTACAAGGCACATGGTCATGTAGCAGTGACAGAACAATGGTGTCCTCACAGCTGCAGGCTCAAGCCAGCTGTGCCCAGGAGCCTGAAGGCTCGCATAAATACATGCACGTTAGTGCCAGCTTTAAGTAACAGCAACTAGTGTAACAGTAATATTGAAAATGCCCTAAATGTGTACTGAGTCTCTTCATTTTAGTGTCTGAACTATGCATTTTGAAACAGTTTTTAAACTATGTAGTTTGCCTGGCTGTGCCATGGCAGTGACTTGCATAACCACCAAGTGACTTGGTTTTTATTTGCACCCAACCAGGCTCACTAAATAAATTTTTTTGTAGGTAAACTTGCAAAAAGTTGGTGAATATCTATTTCAAAAAAACTTATTACAGTAAAAGCCACATTTCCATGAATTCCCCTCAAAATGCAGTCCTACCTTGGTTCACGAACTTCATTTGTTCTACAGTTTTGACAAAGATGGCACACATTTGTGTTTGTGTGAGAAACATGGCTGCAGCCCTGTTGGTTACCGAATGCAGAGTTGACAGACAACCTAAATTTTCCCAAATGCTTATTTGTGAACCAGTCTATTTGCAAACAAAAGCATTTATGGACCAAGGTACTATACTGTACTCCTCCTTGCTTTGAAGAAACTTATCCCATCATTCTTGACACTTTCTGAAGCATTCCTGAAAGTCCTCTTTCCTGGATGTCTTTAGTTGTGTTGTTGTGACTATCTCAGTGTCCTGAATTGATTCAGAACATTTACCTTTAATGGTCCTTTGTCTTGGCAAGGACCAGAAGCAACACTGCCAGATTCAGTGCATCAGGTAGGTGAAGACATACTGTAATATTTTTACAAGCCCATCTTTCTGTTGGATAGCACTTAGCAGCAGTATTCACCATATTTTTTTTATCATGCCTGTGTTTGAGCATAAATGTATTTGAAGTAAGAGAGTATTTTGAGGGTGGTTAATGCAATGTGTCTTTTACTATAATCAGTTTTTAAATTTAGACATTGACTGTATTTCTTTTACTAGCTATCAACTCAAATGTTTTGTTTTCCTTCCACAGAAAAAGCAAAGAACAAAAGATCTATCTCAGATATTTCATTCTTACAATCCATATGATCACAAGGTAAGAGAAAAGTTTTATTCATATATTGGGTCTTACAGTTTTTGATGATGATTAGTATTTTCATTAGAAAACATTCTAGGACTAGTATTTAGTTAAATACCTTCTACACTAATGTCTAATCAATATGTGGTGATTTTAGAGTACATTTACCAATTAATTTATATTTTAATTATCCCTCAAAAGCAGAAATTTGTATTTAGCTAAAGCCGTTATATTTTATTCACATGAAAATCTAGTTTCAGGGGCTGGGTTGTAGTTCATCAGCAGAGCCCTTGCTAGTATGTGTGAGCCCATGTGCTCTACCCCCAGGATCTCCAACAGAAGTTGCCTACTGTCACTAAAAGCTCAAGACTTGGGAGTGGAGGGTTGTTGTTACTGCTGTTGCTGCTATTGATAAAGTTGTTGTCTTGGATTGGTTTTGCTTTTTCTTTTCAAACATTGTAATTAGCAAAATAGGCTTTTGGCTTGGTAATGATAGTTAAAATGTTGACCTCAAATCTTGATCCTTTTGCTCTGATAGTTATTTTGCCCAAGAAATAATCCTTACAAAACACAGTGCATAGCAGCATATATGAAATATTAACTGACAAAGATTTTACTGAACAGAAGACAGATTATAAGGGCTCCTGTGGACCCATTTTACTACTTTATGAAAGCTCATAGCCGTTCTTGTTTTATTTTATACCCCACATTCTCCAACACCTGTATTTGAAAAATTCTCAGGCATATCTTCACTTATAAGTATTTCACTATATATTTGTAAGCCTTCTATAAAAAGAAACACACATTTAGAGCCATTTTTAAGAAATACTTAACATTTCCACATCTTCGTGGGAAAATAGGATTTCAGGATTTCTAAGACTTATGTTAAATTTTTATGCCATGTAAGGTTCCAATAAATCTGTTAATTCGAGGTGATTTCACAAGCAAACAAAATTTGCACAGTTGAAATGCTAATATAAACTTAAATCTTTATCTATGAATGTACAGACAGACATGTGTTGGGGATTTTTTAACTAGCCAAAATAACTAGTGCGAAAACTACTTTCTTCAGCTGAGAATACAGAGATGTCTGGATTCAGGGAGAAATATGGTGCCAGTTGTTCATGGAAGTTAAGGAATTTGAGTAATTTCTAGTGTTTCTAAGATAACCAATGGACTGAAGCACCAAAAATTTGTAAAAACAGTATTTTGCATGTGATCAATTATGTTCCTTGTGATATGAAATACTGTGCTAAAAATTATTTCAAGTTAGTTTTCAAGCTAAATCACTTACTTTACAGAACAGAGAAATTAGAAAGAGATTGAGAGAGCCAGGAGTGTCTCACAATGCCAAGGGAAGGTGCGTGCTGATAAGTGACACACAGGAAAAGGAATAAGATTGGCCAGATTACCATGGGAATGCTACACTTTTTTTTAGATGAAGGATGTAATTAACATAAATGCAGTAGTGGCTAAAACTAACATGTAACAACAGCAGAAGCTATGACAAATCAGAGGTTTTGCCTGGCTTATCTAAATTTTGCCCACTTGTAGCAAATTTTAACATTCACAAGTCAAGGGAAATTCCATTATTCCTTGAGTAGACCTCCTAGTGAAACATAGCCATTTACACCTCCTAGCAGCTTCCTCTTCATATCCTCATGGCATTCTACCAAAGTCACCTCGAATTACTTTGGCTTCTCTTGTGAAGATTTCATTCCTCTACAAATTAGTCATCAGGCAATGAAGAACTGAATATAAATGCTAGATGGAGTTTTGATCTTTGCCGTCAGATGGGTAATAAGTTGTTGCAAGTAGCTAGACTGCTGGATGAGTGACTTCTTTGACCCTCCTAAGGTTTGGTCCATTAACTTTCTCTTTTACTCTGCATCTGCTCAGCAAAGGAAAGGAGAAGGTTTTATTCTAGGCATCTCCTGGATCCCTAGTATCCTCCTCCCATTTTATAAAACTGCAGTTGGGCAAGTCTAACCATATTACTTTCAGCTTTGTCTTTTGTTGATTAGTGTATGCAAAGATTAGAACCACAGGAATAAAGTAACAGGCACTGTGTTCTGGATCTTAGAATACCCCCCATAATTAAATACTAAAGGGTTATGTAATCACCCAATTATACTCAAACAAATTAGTTTTTTAGTCAGAAATGTCTCAATGTAAAAAGTTTTACAAAATGTAGTTAAAATTGGTTTAAACAACTCATGCTCAGTGAGATTTCTGGAGTGAACTTTAGAAAAATATACACATACATTATAAGTGAAAGCTTACATAAAATAAAATATCAGCTGTTTGGGATTTTCCTTCAAAAATATTCAAAGAGTGGAGTGTAGAGGGTCTGGTAGAGTAAGATGTAGTATATGTTGGTGATTACCAAGCTGAGTGATGAGTTCTGGGGTTCATTCCTTTGTATATTTTTACATGTGATTGAAATTTTCCATAATAGAAAAGATGCAGATTAAAATAAGCTTTGGATTGTTGCTAGCGATAAATGTTCTGATACTCTTTTCTTCTCTGGCTAAATTCTTTTTAGTGTTAATCTTCCCCTTGACCTACATTTATGGTGAAGAAAGAGAGCTCAGCATTTCAGTAGGTTAGTTATTGCTGAGCAAACGCAGAAATGAAATGCCTGTTCTGATGTTGGCATAATTTCCTGGGATTTCATCCCAAATTATAGTGGTCACTTAAATGATAGCCTTGCCTACTGGAATCTGTTAAAACAGTTGTAATTGCCAAGGGCAGTTAGTAGACTGTTTTGTTCTCAGTGAGTCAGTTATATTTAGTCTTCTTTCCTCCTCCCAACAAAGATTGCTCCTGCCTGACCTCAGACACAGGAAAGTCACCAGGTTAAGCAAACGTGTTGTTTGAGTGAGGCCAGGTGCATTTCTTAATCACACCCTGAAGCCATTGTTTAGGTTGTAAATGGTCAGTTGGTTTTCTCTTAAATGCTGTTGCACAAAGCAAATAAACCTCCAAGCAAAGTGTGCACCCAAAGTGAGTCTTAGAAAAATGCCTTATTACACTAAGAAATGTTACTTGAGTCTGAAAGAATTTCACTTGGTTCTGTTGTCTCTCATTCCATGTGAATTTTTTAAAAATTGTTTGTAAGAATTCTTATAATTTTGAAAAAAATTTAAATGACTTGTATGAAAGGCTTTGGGATAAAAAGACTTGGCCAAAGATAATCGAAAATAGCTGGCAATCTGATTGTATTGTATGCAATTCTGTTATTGTAATAAATAGTAAACATATGTTGTATTTTCTAAAAACATACCACACTGACTACCAGGGAGGGTTACAAAGCAAGAGACCTTTTAGGTCATAGAATGTCAGCCTGAGTTTGAGTTTTCCCTTTGGATAAATCAAAGATAAATTAGCATAAAGTATAATTAGGGCATTTTTATTAAAGCCAGGCAAATTAGCATGGGTGGCATGACCTTGGCCTAAAGAAAATATTATTAGGCTATAAAAGATGTATCTTTCTCTTTCTTTTTTCCTGTTAGACTTTGCAAGTTATATATGTTCAGAAGAAAATTTAGGTTTATTAGCACATCACGGATACTTATGAATTGCCAGTGTAAAAGCTTATTACAAAATACGAAGATGGTTGGAAGGAAAAAGAAGATTCTGTTTAGTACTATAACAGTTTTTAACATCTGCAAAGTTGAATAAGTTCCTAAGTACAGTTAATCTGAGTAAATTAATATATGCTGTACTATTGAAACTGTGTCTTTAACCTCTTGTCACTATTATAATTTCTGAATTTTGTGAAAGGAGCTTCTCATTTCTTTAGTAACTCTAGTAGTTTAGTAATTGTATTAACAATATAGACATAAATCACTTGAAAAGAAACATTGTTATATAGCCCCATGTTGGCAAAGTGGGCTTTTCTTCTTTAGGTGAATACAGTTATGCTAACAATTTTTCTACATACCACATCAGCTGAACTGTGAACAAATTTTAATGTGTATACACAGGTATGGTGGACCCATTTCTTAAGTTTGCCCATGAGTAGAAAGAAAACAAACACAAGTATTTTACTCAGCCAGTGATCTTTTGTGCAGCAATCTGTACCATCTAAAACACAGCTTAAGACTTTTCAAGAAAGCCAACTGGACCCAACTATTTGAGTGACTGTAATCCCTACCCCATCACTCCTTCAGTCCCTCATCACCAACAGTCCATTCTCTTGTTTAAATCAAGTTTTACAAACAGAGGTGGCTGGTTGCCCAAACAACAGTCAACCCCAACAGCAGTTAAAAACAAGGTGGTTATTGCTTCAAGAATTTGGAGCTCCAGCAAGAAGTGACAGCAAATCAAATGAAAGCAAGATCAGGCTATAAAACATGCAGGTCATTAACAGAGGAACTCTTAAACGTGCATCTGCCCAAGCCCGCTTAATTTAGCATCCCAAAACCCAGATCTCCCATACATTTTAGTTGTCCCATGGTAAAATAATTAGGAGTAATTTACATCAAGAAACAGATGTTCTGCTTAAAAATAGTAGAGATGTATATATCCTATTTGAAAACATTGGTATTTTAGGAACAAACTGTACTTATTTTGAGAACTCTTAGCAACAGCTAGTTGTTCTTAATAAGGTGTGAGTAAATGAAGTATTGCTATAGAGAATTGTTGGATGAAAAGTAGAAGAATTGCTGAATTGTAGGTAGTCAGGTAGCAGACAGCATATATGTGTGAGCAGACGAGAGGAGGAACAACCAATATTACCCAAAGTTTCTTATGTGTAATTAGATGCTGTAAAATATTAAAGTATTTTATTTTATTTTATTTTATTTTATTTTATTTTATTTTATTTTATTTTATTTTATTTTATTTTATTTTATTTTTTGTGGAACTGGGATTGAACTCAGGTCCTTGTGCTTGCCAGGCAAGCGTTTATTCTACTGAGCCATCTCCCTGGCCCCACTTTTATAATGATTTTTTTATCTTAAGGAAATACTTCTCTAGACATAACAAGTGAAATAATTATAAGTAATATATCA